ATTCAAAAAGTAGCAATATTTATCTATAGCATCCATAGCAAATATGGCTCAAGTAAACGAGTCTATAATTCTAACAAAAAGTTTTTCCTTTCTCAGATTTTATCCTTTAATAATCTGTGAGCATGTAAGAAAAATTATGGAAATAATTATCACATTATACATAAAATTCAAACGAAGCTGAAAACACTTGACTAAGCAAACGTATTCAATTCTCTAATAAAAATGAGCCATAATAACTGAAATCAAGCTTCAAATATAAATAATGCTATAGGAACGCTCATTTAATTTCATCATTTATTGTTTTTTCCTATTTCATTGTAATGCTTTGTGATCCATGACGTTAATTCAAATTATTTTCATATAATTTGAATTGCAGCTTTGATCTGTGCTTTGTGTTTTCTCAACATGAATCTTATGCTCCCGGCTGCTAAATACTTAATTAAAATGTGTGGGCGCTCGAAAGTATGCTATGCCCAGAGGTGTCTGAAATAACAGCTGTAGCAGCAAATTGTAGCAGTAGCAGTAGAAGCTGCTGCAGCACTGGCAGCGACAGTGGCAGTAGCAGTAGCAATAGCAGTAGAGCCGCACACAAAGGCATTTGTTTAATTATTTAAATTTAATTTCATGTCATATCAAATTAGTGCCAGTCATTTTCACCTCAAGCACGTGAAACGTGAAACATAAAAGCCTAACATACTCACACCCACACATACATGTACGCACATTAAGTAGGAGTAAGCACAGGCCAACAGTTTTTAGCTCATTTGCATTACGTAGCCGACTCTTTGCCGCCTGCCTGGAACAAAAGCAAGCTACGCGTTGAAAAAAAACATCATCTACATTAATTATTATATTTATTATTATAATAATAATAATTATTATTACTATTATGTATACGTTCGCTGGTTGTTAATGACTGAAAGCGCACAAGTGTGTGCAGGCAAGTGTGTAATAGACGTGTGTGTGTGCTGGCCTGCCTTCAATTGCATTTACACTCACCCAAACACACACACACACGTGTAGACAAACAATCCCACACAGTTGAAACTCACGTAGACGTTGCATAATTGAATTAGCCAAACAACGTCGTCGGGCTACAAAATGCCTCAAACAAAGGCTAATAATGCTATGTGAATGGAAGCCCATAGGGGGCATGGCAGCTGCAACAGCAATAGCGACATCAGCAGCAGCAGCAGCAGGTAATTGTGTGGCAATAGTCCCTGCGGGAAAGCATAGAGTGAGGCTTGCAGTAGGGGAATGAACAATGCATAAGTAGTTGCCCACATTGAATGCGACCCTCTGATGTAAAATTCTTTAGGCAGGCAACAGGAAGCAATTGGAACGAGATAAGTAGCTCACATTATTTATTTGCTTGTCGTTGGAAAATCTTAAAGAATGTAAATTGTGTCGTTTCTAAATAATTTATTCAAAATAAGTCCCCAAGCAAGTGACATTTAACCAGAGAACGATTCGTCTCAAATGTGTCCCATATAAATTTTTAAATAAATATGAATATGCATAAATACATTTGACTAAACATACATATTATACATACATATACTCATGTGTATATGCATTTAAGTGTATACACAAATACATTTCTAATAATTCCTTTTTTAGTAGCCACTAATATTTTTATGAACAACTAAATTTTGTTAAATTTTCTGTAATTGTTTCTAAAATTGAATATGAAAAACCTGTAAACTAACAAATTTCAAATTATTTTCAAAGTATTGCATTTAGTAGTATTTTCATGAACACACACGAAATTATATATATATATATATATATATATATATATATATATATATATATATATATATATATATATATATATATATATATATGCATTAGGCAAATTAAATTATTTGAACTTAATCGTAATCAATAGACAAATATTACAATTTGTTTCGAATTACAATTTCCTTTGCTTACATGCACTCACATATTCAGACTCACACTCCCACACACACTCTCATACTCATACACGCCCACACACTCCTCCACACTACAGGCAATTAAAAGCTGCGATTTAGCAACTTAATATGACATAAATTGTAGTCGGCGCTTCCAACTCCATAAAATTAATTGCCATTGAATTTTTAATTAACTAAAACTAAAAACAGCTCCCAAAAGCAAACTGTGACTAATTTCATGCGCTTTGCCGCAAAGCCCCATGCCAGCAACGAATGGATTTGCCACGCGCTCGTTTTGTATTAATAGCTCATAAATAAATTTTCCAAAAAGAACTAATTGCTTTATTTTGCGTGCATGTATTTTGTTTATGGCGAAAAAATTTCAGCATGCCGCATGGCAACAACAAATCGAAGCAATTTTAGTGCGGATAGTCGACGAGCAAATATGCTGTAGCCAGTTGGAAGTCATGAAGTAATGCAGATAGGCCAGTTCATAAAGATGTATATTATAATAAATTAGGTACATGTCATGAATATATGATATACATCTGCATATATAAATATATTATAATAGTGTATATGTATGTGATGCATATATGGTCCCCATCCATGTGAGCTTGCCTATCTATCTAAATTAAAATATAAATAGAAAATAGAAAAATCAAAACGGTAGCCTAAATAAATTATAGATATTGCATATAAATAGAATTCAATTTCAAGCCGAATATAATATATATTTTATTATAATATTCTAATAATATATAATGACATAAAAGATTTGAATCTCAATTCATACATAACCTTATCTATATAAACTACATTTTGCCTACAGCTGAAACAAAACGCGTTTCTACTTGACATACTTGACATATTTTCAAGCAGAAAATGTGCTTAACTGAATTTTTAAAAAATATTCAGCTATTATTATCTATACATACATCATAAATAGTAATAAATCTATAATTATGACATGACAAAATCCAGCTAAAATAGTTTCTACCTTACAGCAGTAAGCTATGTTCAGTTGTAAATCATTTCAGCTATAATTCAAGTCTAAATATATATTAACACAAAATAAATTCCTCTTCGATATACTCTGTCAAAGATTTGTATGTAATTATAAAGTAGGACATAAGCAGCAGCTTTATATACCTCAATAGTTGCTAGCAATTTAATCTAATTTATCCCATCTCACAACAGTTACGTGAATTTTCTTTAAAGTTCTTATATCATGATCACATGATATAATCACAAGCCAAGTGCAAGCAAACGCAAGAAGTGATCAAAATATTTGCTCCCTACGCAATATTTTCCTCCTTTTCCCATTGTGAATACATATACAAATTATTTTTTTGCTGATGTCATGCTCAAGTTTTACTATTATTGCTGTGGCTCTTTGTTGTTGTATTTTATTGCCGTCCAAAGCAAGCGCTGTGCTGTCATATATCGATTTTATAGCGACCACACCTTGTAGAGCCTGCCGCCCTCTAGCCCTTGCTCAACCCCTTCCCACACACACAGTCGGTTTATCGCCCAGCGATATCTATATAATGGAGGCCTCTGTTTGATTTGTACGCATTAAACTGTAATCTGGTCAAGGTTTTTTTTTGCATTGCGATTACTGTGTGGAGCATCTTGTTTTGTTTATCATCGCATCTGTTATTTTTTTTCGCTTTTGCCGATTTACGCTTCAATAAATGCGGCAAAAAGAAAATAACATAAGTGAATTTATATTTTGATTGATATTTTGAGTTTATGCCACAGTTTTGGAATGCGAAGATCAAAAGATGTAAGGCGGCAAGATCTGTGCGATGGCATTGTAAAAGTTAAAGTGCATTTGATGGAAAAATAATGAAAAACAATCAAATGGATTTTGACAATGAAAATATGTGAAAACTAAGAGACTATGGAACATTTGGAAATAAAATCTGATCCATAGATTGACGGGGGTATAGAGTAAAACAGATTGGAAAAATATACATTGAAAAGAAACCGAAAATTCGTAAATATTTATTAATGATTTCATACATAAGGGAGGGTCCTTTTATTGAATAAAATATATATTAAATAGTAGTCGATATCAGCAATACAGATAAACAGCTGAAGTCGGATATTTGGGAATGATTAAGAAAAAATATAAATAATAAAGTTCTAGGTATAGAAAAACTAATTTGTTGTATTGTTAAATAAAAGAGAGGCTATACCTGCTGGATTAAAGCTAATGCACCTGCCCGCTAAGCCATATATCTCATAAGTTTGCCTTTCTCATTCACCACATCAAATTTCTATTAGAATAAACATTTTGTTTACGTCTTGTTTTTGTTTTCTTTGGCGCCCCAGCGTAAAAGTATTTTCATATATATATATTTTTGTTTCTTCAAATAAATGGAAAATCTATAGGCTGGATTTTTGCATTCGATTGCTTCAGTTATTTATTTATATGAATTCTCCCGTTTCGTTTTCAGAGCTGAAAAATAAAGAATTTTATCTGCACAAATAGAAACAATTTCAATTTCGTTTTTTTTGTTTTCGTTTTGCGTAACCTACTCTAAAGTTTCGTACGGAATCGTTCCAAAATACACATTTATTCACATTTAAAAAAATAAATTCAATACATTTACATGAATATAAGAATATATGTATATCTATGTATATAAATATAAGTGTTGTGCGTGTGTGTTTCTGTTTGTTTTGGTATATGCATTTGAATAGTTAGACAAATATTTCTTACATCGAATGCATAAATGCGAAAATATACGAGAGTACATATGTGTGTGTGTGTGTCAGTGTGTGTAAATCAACAATTGTTGCATATTGAGTTTAATGTTTCTTGCTTCTCGTTTTATTCTAAATAAATAAATATTTGATTTTTGCACATATTTTAACATGAATAAAAAATACATTTTCCGACACTTTTTTCCATAGAGAGACTAAAAACATGTTCGACTTTCTTTTATACAAGAACATAACATTTATATATATATATATATATATTATATATGTATTTAGATAGTATGTAGTATAGATTAGATATATATCAACAATTTGTATAAGGTAGCAAGTTTTAAGAGTTAACATAAGTATATATATATATCGTAAACATAATCATATTTAATCGTAATAGTTCAAGATTTCTTCATATAGTATATGTATTTATATATAGTAATAACAACAACAATTAGGGCATTAGACATGGCACATACAGTTCAGATTCAGATCATATATAGCTTTTGCATTTGATTTCAATATTTTTTATTTATGGTCCGGTTAGGAACTTGGCGACCTACACAAAAATGGATATATATATAGTAGATATATACATATATATTCCAAAAGGAAAATTAATTGGAAATTTCATTTCCAGCGACAACAAAAACACAAACGAAAAATTGTGTTGTGCACAACAAAAATACTCAGTATTATTGCTTTAAGCCTGTGCCAAGCCGAGTCTAGCCCCGATTCCTACAGCCCTATATAGCTTTATAGAAATACGACATTCATAAGTTAGATGTAATAGGCATCAAATGTGGACCACTTGGACATATAGTTGTTATTTGTGCGACTTGTATACGCATAAAACCGATTCGAATCCCAAACCCAACTTCAGTACAGCAATCCATAATGTTCGGAAGGCGCTGCACCTAGCGAAGAAGTGAGGTTCGAACCTTTCAAAAAAATGTAAGTTGTGCTCAATCCCAAAAGATTTTCACAGTGAAGTTGGACTTCAAAAATAAAATCCAGAACAGCTCAAACTAAAGAGCAGAGTTCGAACCCTTGAAAAATATTTAGTACAGTTCAATTTGTTCTATTGAGCAAGTAGAATTCTAGAAAACTCTTGAACAGATCGTTAAGATCGTACTTCAAGCTTCCATTGTAGGCCAGCTCAATCATCTTAGTAGCACAGCCGTAACTCTGAGAAACGGGGTTCGAACTGTTAAAAAATGTAGCTAGTACCGCTCAATCCTTCTTGTTGAGAAAGTGCAGGACATAGTGTAGCACCAGATCGTAGCAGTACTTGTACTCGGTCATATTTTCGACCAGCTGTGGACGGTGTCGCCGCACGGTCTTGACGGCCTGAAAGACATCGACCTCACCGTGCTGTATGACCTGCTCGATGCACGCATTGGCCGCACAGTAAACCCCGGCGCGGCTGCGACCATCGGGCGAGACAACACAGACGGGTCCATAGTCGACTTTATTGCGCCAGATCTCGACCATATTCATCAGATAGACCAGCGAATTGGTTGAGCTCGGCACCTTGTGGCCCATGGGCCAGCAGGTTAGCTGAAACAGCTGGACGGTACGTGTTGGCGCCTTGACGCCTGCCATCATTTCGGTCAGCGAAACGATCTTCTTGTTGATCTTGAACTCCCACTGCTTGATGTTCGTATAGCTCTTGGACATCACGTAGTGCACAGTGAAGACAGGGCCGTATTTTTCCATTTTCGATTTGTTGGGCCAGAACGAGGGATATTGCTGGGACTGCGAGGGCGGCTGGCAGAGCACCACAACGGCGGAGCACTCATGATCGTACACCAGAGACCAGAACTCGCCCAGCGTATGCTTCATGGGCCACTCGGTGACAATGTACTCGCGCGGCTTGGTATAACCATCCACAAAGACCGAGTTGATGTAGTCCGTGAAGGCGTTACCCTGAAAACTGGTCAAATATGGACGAAAGTTGTCCGGCGGTACACAGAGCACATCGCGATTCTTTTCCCGGTTATCGGCTCGATGACCGCCTGCGCAGTCGCCAATCGTAAAGCGTGGCGTTTGCTTGCAGATCTGATCGTACTCGGCCTGGTACTCGTTCATCTTAGTGCCGGAATTGCGTCGTGCCTTGGCCTTGAGACGATCCGACAGCTCGGAGACTGGAAACCAGGTCTTGCCGCATATGATGTGCTCCTCCAGCGTATCATAGATGAACTTGTATTGCTCCACATTCTCGACCAGGCCCTTGCGCGATTGCCGCAGCTTCTTGAGGTAGCCAAACACATTGAAGGACTCCTCCTCCTCGGCCAGTTCCAAATTGGCATCGATGGACATGTAGACGCCCGAGCGACCGCCGCCATCGCTGCAGTGCACCAAAATGGGCCCACGCATGTCCACGTCGTCGCCATCCTTGATGATGTTGCCCACAACAAGGCGCACGCGACGCCTGAACTCAAGCAGAGCATTGGAAAACGGGCAGGAGTGGGAATACCATTCCGTATAGTGGAACTGCAGTATCAGCCGTTCATCCGTGACCTCGCCCTGTTCGCCCTTCTTGTACAGCCGAAACGTACGTATGTGAAAGTTGGCCAGCTGCTCCTCCCTCACGATATTGATGTGTATATCGCCATAGGTTTCGTGAACCTCCATGTTGGGCGGCCAGTATTGCACGCACATGACCTTGGCAAAGTCAAAGGTTTTGGTCAGCATGACAATGGCGCTAATGTTCTCCTGCCACACCATGCGCCAATAGGCGTTGACCGTCTCCTCGACGGGGCCCTGGGTAACGATGTAGGCATTCGGCTTGAGCAGACTGTCCATGTAGGAGGCATTCACATAGTCCGAGTCGGGCACACCCGCCAGCTTTTGCAGCACAACGCGATTGTAGTCATATGGAATGCACTTGGGATTCTGATTCTTCTCCTGATTGTTCTTCTTGAGCGCATGCCGACAGGTGTTCGTTTCCACCTTGGCGGCCGTTTGAAATTCCAGCTTATAGAGCACAGGGAATTTGCGACGCAGATCACATAATTTGAGAAAATGCCGCACATCGATGGGTCCATTCGGTATGGTCTTCGACAGCGAATTGTTCTCATCTCGCGCCTCCAGTTTGATGCGCTCAAAGGACAACAGGCCGCTATTCAGCATGCTCAGCTTGATGGTGTTCGGTATGGAGACGATGGCGCGACTCTTGCGCTGCTGCCTTTCCACGTCATCGTACCGAGCGGATGACCTCGACCTGTGCTTGCTTTGCTTCGTGTTGCCACCCGATTTTGTTGTGGTCGTTGTTGTTGTCGCTGTTGTTGCTGTTGTTGCCGCTGTCATGGCTGTGTTGCTGTTGTCCACTGGTGCTGCCGCTGCCGCCGACTCAGTCGACGCTGCTGCCGCTAGTTGCTGTTGCTGCTGTGTTGTCATCATCAATCAGTGGGTATTTGCAAGTGTGCGAGTGTGCGAGTGTGCGAATATGTATGTGTGCGGGTGTGCGGGTGTGCGAGTGTGCCAGTGTGCGTGTGTTGGTTGTGCGTCGTTGCGTATAGGAGGAGGAAGTAACCGATTAGTATTTGTACACTTGGCACAGCATTCGCTTTTGGATTAGTAGCTTATTATTTTGCATTGCATATGCTTCGACTTTTCGCTTCTCGCCGAGAATTTTCCTTAAATCTGTATGTTAGCTTGTTAGTAACTGTAAAATGTTTGGTATTTGTTCACCTTTTAATGCGTCGCGCCAAACGGAATTTGTTATAAATAAATATAATGCACACACCGTATATTGTTGGCTAATTCTCTAGTCGTTTAGCTGACTTTTTCCTGCTATTTTTCTGTATTTTTTTTTTTTTTTTGTTTTCCTCTCTGCTCTTCGCTTGGCTTTTCTTCACTACACACTACACGACTGTTAGCTGGCGTTTGGTTCGTGTCTATCGTTTGCAGCTCAGCAGCTGCCTCGTTGGGGCAAATTTCGTGGACGACTGTTCGAGCGTTGCGCGATGTTTTGCGCTTTCACCTCAATACAGCCAGCACAGACGGCCCCAAGAGTGAGAGCGCGACAAGCCAGAGAAATAGAGAGAGAGAGAACTACAGCCTGGCAACATTTTCACCATGGCACATGTGACTGGCGCTTCGTGGGTGCGTGACGGGTATTTTTAGCCATGCGGGTGGAACGGTATATTTAGTGCGAACAGTGGTGCAAAAACCATTGGAAATTTAGTTGATGTTGAGGCTAAAAGGATTATCTAATACAAAGTTTCACTGGAATATATAATATCTGTATGGTTTTTGAAATTACTTAGCATAAGTAGGAAATATAAATGTATTTATTTTTAATTATATTATAAATAAATACTTATATTATTTTTATTTTTACGAAAACCAAGAAATCTACAATAATTTGTATTACAATTATATTTAAAGAATTATATAAATATTTTTATTTTTTAAATAGACAACTATTTAAATAAGGAAGTCCACAATAATTAGTTTTATAATTATATTTACAAAATACATTTTTATTAAAAAAAAACAAATATTGGAATTAAGTTTTTGCCTATAATTTTTTTATTTTTATATGCCTGATTTATATTTCTTTGGTACATTTTTACACAATTTACAATTTTATATATATTTATATAGCATTAATGTGTTAAATATAATGCTATAAAACGTCATACAATTTATAAGTCATGTGACATTAGAAATTAACAATGTTTTTAGTTGAATATAATAAATTTTACTATCGTCTCTTCATATATTTTATAATTATACAATATTTCTATGCATATATTATTTTCATTCCTTTCTTGTTTCACTTAATTGCCCATCACACAGTGCAATTCACCTTATAGTATGAATGAAAATTTCGATTTTCCCATTGCCTCTCATTTCGTCGAGGCGAAAAATTTCCATTTACCACATAGAAATGATTTCGCACCATACATCAGAGAGAATTCTCGCCTCTCTTGGCTGTAGGTGCTCTTGACGCATGCGCCTCAGAGGATTTTCACTTTTCATTACGTATTTCATTTTCGCCTATTGTTTTTTTTTCGGGCATGTGTAATTGAAAATTCCGTTATTTAAATGAGGAAGTGACGTTGATTTTTGTTGATTTTGTTTTTGTTTTTGTTTTTGTTTTTGATTATACCCAAAAATTTTAATTTCCATATTTAATTGGCAGGGCAAAACCAAACAAAATTATGATTTATATTGCCTGATTTTACCAGATATATCCCGACTTTTTAATGACTGCAGTAAATAGACATTTCCTGCCATGGTCAGCTGTACGTTTGCCTGTGTGATTTCATTGTTGTTTGTGTGGCCGTTGTTGTTGTTGTTGTTTTTATACATGTTTGTTGTCTCAGTGCAGTTTCACATTTTCACGTTCACACATTTGATTTCCGTATGCAGTGCCTCTAAATAGCTTTTGGCAATAGCCCACAGCCAAAGAGGAAGCGCAGCGCGGCCCCTCGACACACGCCATGAAGAACAAACAGCAACAACTATAACAAATAGGTGATCATTATGATGTCTGATCAACATCATGATCAAGAATGTGCTGTTGGCTGTGTGCTGTTTGCTGTTGAACTGGTTGGCGGCTGGCGCTACTCTCGAGGTAATTTCGAATTTCGAAATAATTACACGAGCGTATGTCAAAGAATTTTTGAATGTAAACAAATCGTTCTGTATACAGTGGGCCCTGGCAATCAAATGATGATTGAAAAAAATATTATACGCGACAGCCTTGAGCGCCAATTTGTGTGCAATTCGATGCTCTCTATTGATAAACACATTTTCAAAGAGCGCTCTGATTGGAAGTGCCCAAGCAGAAGATGCGTGTGCCTTAATGGTTCTTTGTACATTGCCTTCAAAGTTATATAGACTTGACTTAACTGAATAGAATTTCATATAAATATGTAAAAGTAAATTATAAACTCTTAGTTATCATTTGTCTTCACATCAAACACTTCTTCTCACAAGCATCGGCTTAACTGAAAATCGTCTGCTAGAAAAGCAAAATATACAGTAAGAGGATTCGTTCTTTGCCTGTCCCGTGTATTATATACCCACTCAGACGACTTTTATTCAGGCTAAAACAATGCTAATGTATTCCGCAGAAATCAATATTGAAAATTGAAATAAATTGTTGCAGGTCGAGTAAAAAAATGTTCATTAATTTAATATGTTATATAGACTAAATATATATGTATATATATATATAAGTTAACTTATAACACTTAATGTAAGGTATTATTCAACACTCATTATCGGGTGCTAGACAAGTTAAGGAACAGCCCTGGCAAGGGCAACTCTACTTACGCCGGTGAGGCTATGATTTGTAAAAATATAGATCAGTCTCGTGTTTTAACTCGTACTGATAGGACATGCTAAAAATTGGTGTTATATAAGTCAAATTAAAAGTAGGGAATATAATAAGAAAAACCAATAAAATTAACCGTTTCGATTATTCAAAAAAGAACAATTCAAAGCAGGGTTAAAAAGCGTTCTTCCAGTAAATCGCTTAAATAAATATTCACTCCGGCACTTGGCCGTTAGATGGTTTATTTCATTGTCTGAGCCCGAGGCCAGCAATAAGAGGCACAGTCACCACAGGACTGGAAACTATATAATTTATATATATATTAAATGTGTGAATATAATACTTATTAAAATGTTGGCTAAAGCATGCTTGTGTTCTCAGTAAGCAAATTCATTTTTCCTTCTATAGCTTATTAACAATATTATTTAAATTATTCGCGGACATAACGAGCCGCCCAAGACGTATTGAAGAGCAGACAGCGCTGTGGTTAGCGAGCCGTAGTTAATTTAAGATATTTGCGTACCTTAGGCCGGACGATAATCCGGCGTAAAGCTGCGCGGCTCTTGCAAATTGCTGTAGCCACCTAATTTGAGAGCTGTTGACCCATTAGGGGCACAAGCCATGGCGCCCCAAAATGGCGCCGGCACGCGGCTCAAGCACTTAAATATGCCACCCCTCGCAAACTACATTCCATTCGCATACATATACGCCCACGCCCACGCACATACACACACACACTTATGACTAAGCTAACAAAACGTTGACTGTGGCTGACCGCAGGTTGCAAGGACTGAGAAGCACGCATCCTTAGCGCCACAAAATACGCCTAAAAGCCACACGAGAATTGCCCCAAAAACCGAACTAAACTGAACCAAACCGAAGTGAACTGAACACCGAATGCTGAACGCTGAACGCTGAACGCTGAACCGCTCGACCGTCCTCGACTAATTAGCATTAAATTAGCTATAAGAGAGGACAACAAGGATATGAAGCCGAGCACTTACCTTGCCAAATATGGTGAGTCCGCCGTGCTTCATGTTGAAGGTTGGCGCGTCCGCATAACTCGAGTCGGCCCACGGTGTATGGCATGTGGAGGTTAGCGTCATATACCTTACCCCAATTGCGTACAGGGTGCGCAGCACAGCCAACGAGCCGCCCAGCGAGTGGCCGCCCTCGACGCCGGTTAGCGAGCACAGCTGCTGGTTCTTGTGAGCATCGATGATGTCTGCAAAGGAGAGCACAAGTAGAGTAAGAGGCGATTCCAAAACTTGAAGAACTTTGCAGCTTAAACTTGGCTCAGCGCAGCTGCATTGTTTTTGGGTTCAACTACACAACTTCAAAATCTGCGATTAAAATTTGTTTCGCCATGACGAACTTTGAATACCCTTAAACAGGCTAAATGTATTTTACTGCAGAAGATACATTTGATACTTATTTTTGAGCTACACAAGTTTAAATCATAATAAAACAAAGAAATATTTACTAAATACCAATAGAGTGGATTTTATTGGATAGGAAATTTCAAGACATTAATGTTTACATATGATTTTGACTATGCAGCCGCCACGGCTGGTGCGTACAGGAATTAATCTGGAATATTAATCATCATCATCATCATCACCAGTTTTGAAGACATAAGGCAATGGCTCCGCTCATAAAGCACACCAAACGGCAATTCAATGTTGACTGCAGTATTGACAAGCTTGTGGATTATCCTTCAGTTTAAATGGCACAAAATTCTACTTATTTCATAAGCCGGGCCTTAGAACCAATATCAGTTCAAGTCTAGAGCTCAAACTGTACAGAGAGCTCCAACTATCAATACTTTTTCTATGAAAAAATGAAACAAAATATAAATCTGCATAAATTCATTCATCGTTTCGGACATCTGCCTCCAATTCTGTTACATTATTCCAATATTTTATGGCTGGGTTCTACAATGAGTGATTACGAATACATTTTTACTATCTGAAAGATTACCTGGGAAGCATTTAACAGATATTGCCTCCAGAAAAAATTTAAACAAGAAAGCTTTATCCGTAATTTCTCCCTTTAACAAGATTATTAATGACTTTTAAAAATTGAAGAAATTTACAATTTGGTGAAAACGCTTCTGTATTTCTCAAAATTTCATCGGTTCTGCTATGATATTATTCGACTTCTTCCCTTCACTTTTGGTTAAGATCTTTGCTAAGCATGAATGCTTAAAAAATAAATACAATAAAAATAAATACAATAATAATAAATACATTGCTCTCATTCCCAGAGTAACCGAGTTACAAATTTAAAAATGCCTGACCCATATACGTTAGATTATGCGACTAAAAAGCAAGCTAAATATAATTTTGAATTCCAATAAGCTGAAAACACAAAACCAAAAAGCAAATAAGGTATAAAAATTTGTTTGTTTATTTTCTTTGTTATTTTTTCTTAAATGATTACAGCTAATATATATTTTATGCCGCTCTTTCCGTGATCTAATTGCTAGACTCTTTGCCAGAGTATGAGAAAACAGCATAAGTAAGAAACATTGTTTTGCTGCGTCTGTCATTTGCTTTGCTGCCCCGTTGAGCTCTGCGTTCATTGCGGTCTTAGCATGTCCCTCCGACCGCCTGGCTGGGGCTGCTGGCCGTCTGTCTGTCTCAGCTGGTCTGTCTTCTGGTCTGTCAGTTTATCCCAACATGGCATTTGTGCTATGCTGTGCAATATTTACGCTTGTCTTGTTCACCAGCTTTGATCTCTTTCATTTCGTTTCGTTTCGTTTCGTTTAGCTTGGTTGCCAGGCACTTGTCAAAATACTTGCTCATTGTTCATTGTCCATTGTTATTTATTTTTCACATTTTTTATTATTATATTGTTTTATTACTTTGTTTTAGCTAGCAGCTAGCAAGTTGAGCAATGTTTGCATAAAGTTGTTAGACAACTTTTTCTTATTCGACTTATTTCTCGAATGGCATGTTAGACATCGTCTGATTGTCTAAATTGTAAAAATGCATTTGCCAAAGAGTCATTAAGCATTCGTTTTAGCAAGCAAACGCCGAAATTCGTTTAACAAATTATTTTTATAAAAATATTAGCTAATACGTTACTTAGTTGTACCTTGTTAGCCATTCTATATAGAACGCAGCTTTTTAAACTGAACACAAACAGCAGCATCGCCGCCATCCACAAGGCCATCTATAGTAGTCCCGACATTCCTATATAGAATTCCGCTAAAGGGCTCTATGGCGCGGACCTCAAGGTATAAAATTCAAATTATGCAGATGGACTACAGCTAACAGGCTTGTGATAAACTCAGTGCTACATAGAAATCCATCAGACACGCGGATAGACTGGCAGCGAATCGTAACCATCTCGCAAGCGCTTGGCTCTCAAGACCAATCGGAATAAGCTGGTATAAAAACACCAAATTAAAATAAAAATAAAATAATCCTCATCAAAACAACTTCTCGATCTCTATTAAATTTAGGTAATCACCCAAAAGAATCCACAATCGCCTCATAAAAGGTCTCCAACTCAATGACATCGATTTTTTCAACAATACTTAGTGCCATTCCACGCCTCGGATACTTTTCCCTGAGCCGGAAGACGCCAATTCTGATAATATAAAAACAAGGTAAACGTCCAGACTACCGAGAGTCAATCAATCCAATCAACCAATCAGTCTCCTAAGATTCCGAAACTCTTCAAGACAACAAAAATATAAATTTCAAATTGCATTAAGAGAAAAATGCAACTCCGGAACTATTACACATGAGAGTTAATCTTTTATTAGAAGAAATTTACATATCATTCATAGATATGCTACAACAACAACAAAGATATTAAAGCAAGTCACCAGCCCTCAACTCTACCAAATTACGATGTAGCCGGGCGGGTGCCCCAAGAAATACAGTTTACTCGAACACACTCAAAGCCACAGATACATTTTACAACCCAATTAAGATCCACTATAAGCAGCCCTACTTCTATCAAGAAACAAGAAATTCTATTAAGTCACCGGCAACATCACAAAAATTCAATAATTGAATTTTTTAGAGCTAAATGGACATGAAGCGTTCAACATCTACACTCCATGAGATAAGTGAACATTTAAATCCCACCCTCTGCACACAGCCCATACAGGCAAATGCAGCGCCGAACGACAAAGAGGGCAACAGTAGAGCTGGCCCGTAAAAACAAAACCACTCAGTTTTCAGTTCGAAAATACACGTAATTATTGTCGAAACACCAAAGGTGGGTATCAGGCGCTGTGAGCGACACTGAAGTGCAGAGCAAATCCAGTTGCTGAGCTCTGCTGTGCCAATTGCAGTGAAAGCCACGCAGCCTCCCATGGAGTGTGTGGCGTATTCCAATGACACTGATTAAATAGACGCTGACATCATGAAGACAGCCAAACACTCCAATATACAAAGCCATACTCAAAAATAAAACCATCAGCCATGCCAAATACCACAAAATTCTCACAGGCTATTAGCTTTATTCCTGCATTTGGCCAAGAAAACTCCGAAAATTTATATACATCATATCAATCTCATCCCCTCCTCACTGCAATCCGAACTTCGCCTAAAACCCGCAACTCCGGAACTATTACACATGGTAGTCAACGGTATATTCGATATAAAATGAACAGTTTACGAATAATTATTGGAGCATATTTAATGACCCAAAAAAAAAAAAAAAAATGTTTAAAAGGAGAAAAAGGAGAAAAAAGGAGAAAAAAGGAGAAATAAATAAATAAAAATAAATTAGCTGCTGAAGCAGCTGCTTGCTGCACCAGCGAGAGCTGGGAGACAACTGAATTCGATGTCAGGAAATTAAAGCCCAAACAGACTTGAAATGTCAATGCCTGCAACATAACCTAGAGAAAGTCTTAATATGCCACGTCATGATTAAATATCACATAGTGTTGGAAATTGTTGAAAATATAGTGTTAGAAAAGCACAAAGCCAAACGAGCTGTCAATCGAGTTAAGCAAGCTGAACAATGCTGTTTGGTAATTTGATTAGAAGTACAACCAGCTCGTGAATTACTATGGCAACAACATTTGGCTTAGTTGTAATCGGAGAGGTCCGGGCACATACGCACAGAAAACGATTGAATCATTTGTCGCTGCATTCAAATCAAGCATTGTAATAACATTTCAAATGCCACAAACAGGCAAAACGAGTCAATAAATTTGCCACAAAAGGACGCCAAAGTGGGGCCAATAAGGCGGGAGAGCGGGAACACAAGTCACACAGGATGCGGACTCCTGCTTGCAAGTTTTCAGGCAATAAGTAAATAAGCTGCGTAAAATCAAAAGGACGCACTTGTAGGTGCTGCCCTGTCCTGAAGTAGTAGTAGTTGTTGTTGTTGTTGTTGCTGTTGCCATGGCTCCTGCTGCTATTGCCTTTGTTATGGGAGCCAGGAAAGCAAATACCTGCCACAGAACCTGCTCGATGTCGTCGTTGCCGTAAAACCCTAAAACCTAAAATATGGAGCAAATAAACAAATATTCAGCCAGGACCTTTACTGCAGCGACTGCTGCTGCTATTGTTGTTGTTGTTGTTGTTGCGGCAGTCAAAGGAAAAATCTACCAAAGGCACTAAAATGCGCCACGTGAGCTGAAGTTCAATTTTTGTAGCGATTGTCAGGGCAAAGGATACGATGCTCGATGCTGGATGCTGGATGCTGGTCCGGCATGTAATTGTCTGTGACCGGGCCAGCAACAAGAATCGACCATGGCCCCAAAACGTAATGTATAATATATGGTCCATGTATCGGATGCGATTTGAGGCAATAGAGAAACGAATGCTCCAACACATTTCAAAATGAAAATCCCAACCAAATGCCACTTGACGCAATAAACCAAGAGCAAGGGCATAAAAATGTGCTCAATTCCACAAGCCAAACTTCAAATGCACTTACAGTGGCTTCGATGGAATAACTGATTGAAATTGTATTACTTCGATTAGCTGATAGACAAGGGAATTCAATTAGAATAAGGCTGGAATAATTGATATAGATATAAATATGATTGGAGTTAAGGACAGTTCGTAAATTGATTTGTTTGAGCTATGTGAGCTATGACTTCTCTGAGCTTCATATTATTGGTACAGGCTAGCTCGACTTTTACCACATCATCACCAATATGTATACTCTCGCCAAAGCACAAATCTACTTAGAATTTCTTTTCATTTTCTCATATTCAAGTTGCTCTAGAAAATCCACATGCTTCGTGGCGAAAGCATGCGAGGAAAATGTCAAAGGCTTTTCAAATCGAATGCAATTTTGGTTCTCAGTTCCCCTTTGCTCGATGCAGCTCAGTGTAAATTGAAGCTTACACATTTCGAAGGTGGAAATTGAAAATTGCGAATGAAAAGCATTCACACATCGACACGGTAAAAATGTAAAGTAGCAAATGCAGACAGCAGACAGCCAACAGAGACAGAGACAGAGACAGAGACAGAGATAGAAGCAGCGACAACAAAGCCGTGTGGAAAATGAAGGGGAAAAGAAAGCAGTGGAAAATCCACGTATGCTTAGCTGCAGGTAAACCTAGTTTCAGTTTTCACATTTATTGTGTTTATGCAACGCGAATGCAATGCTCACTTCACACAGCCTTTAATGGTAACCAAGGAGCAACCAGAACTCAATTGGACATGCATGTGTTGTACTACATCTGCAGCAGCAGGGATTCCGACTAGGGAAACGGGCTTGCTGACTGACTGACTGACATGTCATGTCAGTTGTCGACGTCGCGTTCTGTTTCAGTTCGTTAGCTTTGCATTTTTACAATCACTTTGGCAGCTAGCAACATCTGACTAAGACTACCTCTCTCTCTCTTCCTTTTTGGAGCCTGCCCAATGGACATTTTATTTACAGGATATGCGTACAGCTACTACAATTCCAGGCGACTGAATTTATTTTCGTGCAGTTAAAATAAAATGTTGGCTTTATTTTATGCAAGAGCAGCTGCAAAAAATTCATGTGCAGTCCAGCAAGGGCCAAGCGGTTAGCATTCCGGGCTCAGTGAATCGATGCGGGGCTTGAACCACTGCTTTGGCTCCGCAAATGCTTAAAATAGTGCAAATATGAAATCATTTCGATTGGTTTGCTCTACGTGCATAAGTGTTGATAGGAACTGAGGAATGACTGCGAAAATCCCTGAAACTAGAAATTGTTAAGCAACTGATGCCGATGAGCGTGAAAGAGCTTATTTCAGCCAAGACAGAGTAGACAAAGCATGAAAGAGCTTACTTCAGCCAAGACAGAGTAGACAATTACGAATAATCGATTCGAATTTGAATTACAACATACAACATTGCAACATTCATTCGATAATCTGCAGCTGGAAGCTGAACTGCAACCATTTAGTGCTTAACAACTTGCAACGATTTGAGCTAAAGCCGCCTTAAATGCTCCGTACTTCAGTAAACATGACCTACAAACTGTTTATTAACTCTGCTATCGAATAGTTTTCTCGATTTGCCAATTTCCATTCAACTCGAGCATACTCCACACACAGTTGGAACGATTAAAAATTGTGCTTGTTGCAACGAAATAAAGTTTGCTTGAATTTCTGCTGCACTTTTCACTCGCCCAACTGGATTCAGCAGCTTTTATTTGAAGTAGATTCTTGTTCTGTTTGCATTTTTGCTGCATTCAAGAGCTGTTGGCATGCCACTACCTTATGCTGTTTAGAGTGCGTAGTTCGTTGCTATTTGCGGTTAAACATATGGAGCCCTCCCCTTATCACAATTTAGCACAGGCTACAAGTATATGTAAAATTTTTTTTTTGGGGCATGCATTTCCGCTCGTAAATTTCGAGCAAAAAGTTTTCCTGTGCATGATTTTTATGGGCATGTGATTTATTGACATTTCCATTAACGGCTGCATAAATGTTTCAACGCGAAATGCCGGAAGCGATTTCTTGTTTGTTTCGCCGCGGTTTTCCTTTTAGAGCGGCAAACAAATACCAAAAAAAAAAAAATACTATGAGGGAGTGCACATCTAGTAAAAGAGGCTGGACTTTGAAGTACCCTAGACTGAAAGGCATGTAAATACAAATATAAGAGAGTTTAGGCTAAGCCTAGAGTACTAGGGGCTGAAGGAGTTGCAAAGGGATCCTGTCGACTACAGAAGACCTCAGTCGGCTACAGAAGGCCACAATGGATGACAGTCGACGACAGCATACCTCGTCATATTTAATTACAGGGCATTAAAAGAATACCAAAAGATTGCCAAGTCCTATGGCAGCAAATCAAAATGCAAAACGGAAAACAAACCCAAGAGCAGCAGCAACAACAACTTGAATACTGGCCGGAGACTCGAACATAAGTCAAACTTGTGCAGTTCCACTTGCACTCGTGCTGCTTGCAACATCAGTTGCGATTCTGTGCGAGAAGGACTGCCACCCGCTGTTAACTAGGTGAGTGCGGCATATCAAAGGAAATGGCGCAAAAATATGGCACGCGGTAAGCAGTCGACTCAAGTGCAAGTCTGGAGCACTGCTGCAAGTGCACCAACTGCTGCGATTCGCTCTTCTTTTTCGCCATTTCTTAAGAATTACTCTTACTTTTTTTGTGCACTTTTTCTTATATATAAATATTTGTTTTTTTCCTTTTGGGATACTTTTGAACAACTCGCGAAAGTTTCCGGCATAGCAGCAAATTGAATGCGTGGGCTCTGAGCGCTTTTTGGCATTTCAACAGCAGATTCAGCGCATCTAACCTGGGCTTATGTGGCGTATGTGTGATTCTTACTTATTTGGCATTTGATATGGCTGCGAGGCGTACTTACCTTGCGCCGACGTGCAGGTGGTTAACTGCGGCGAATATCGATCGGTTAGTCTTTTGATCACATCAATTTGCTCCAGCGTCAGCTGCACTGCATCGCGATGTTGTGCCTCACAGGGCACGTAGGCTGCCCAGAACTGAAAATGAGAGGGAAATGTTAATAAGAAAGGGATGAGAATCAAGCAATAGAAATGATTTAATAAAGGGATTTTTTAAGCTTGTGTAAAAAGCTTGCCTCAATTAGCTCTTGGCAATACATTTTTTTAAAGGTCTGGCCAAGTCTTTAATGTGATAAAAAATATATAATATATCAAATTGCGAGATTAAAATTCTTAAGCTATCCACATTATTCTAGCTTGTTAGCTTACGAACTCAGTGTACTGGAGAAAAACAAAGTTTATATTATTTTACTTAGTACTTTTGACTGGTCTGTTCTGGTCTATAAACCACTTTTCAAATGTTTGTAAAAATTTACAGTTGTGTGCAGTTACACCTGCATTTGTTTATATATTCACAGTGAGCGCTTTCATAGAGAGAGAGAGAGAGAGAGAGAGAGAGGAGCAGAATTGGAGCAGTTATCCATTTATTGCCGCATTTCATTATTTGCTTCAAAATGCCAGGCAGCCCAAGGGGATGCCGCATATAGGGGCAGCAGTAAAGCAGTAAGGGGCAACAGTTGTAACCAACTAATGACATGTGGCAACAATAGCAACAACAATGGCAATAGAAAATTTTGCAAATACCTTATGTAAACGCTCGTTCGTGCAATCGTAATGAACGTTGCCACCGAACAGGTAGGAGCCAGGTAGACACAGTGCCTGGTGCCTGGTGCCTGGTGCCTGGTGCCTGTTGCCTGGTCAGCGCTGCAATGGCCGTACAATTAACCCGAATTGAGGCAAATGCTCATGCACTTTTGTCCCCTGATAAGCTGGCAGAGAAGTACGTATGGCACCCGGAACTAAGCAGAAATAACTGCAAGCATCAGGGGAGCAGAGCCTAAGAGCTCGTACAGAGTGCGGACTACAGCAAAACAGGTGAAAAAACGCGTGTAACAGATAATATATATGCGATAAGCAGATACCCTGTCTCAGAAGGAATGTCTACATTGAAGAACTTATGCAGAATAAGAGCAAATCAAGCCAGTCATAAGAATTTTATAAACAAGCCTAATAAACCTTTCACTAAAGGAAACTATTCAACAAAACTCAATTAAGATTGGCCTAAAGTATACGAAAAATAAATATGCACAACAGAATTGATTCAACTAGTTTCTAATCTGGCTTTCTTTTCTACTTTTATGCATATATATTAAAACATTAAATAATTCTGCATTTAAATAGCTAAAGCTTGGTAGGTGATTGTCCCAAAGCTTAGAGTGCAACAAAAAGTCTCTATTTGCTAACTGTTCATGAAAACTAACTGAAAATCAACATCAACTGGGAAACGTGCAGGGCCGAGGCATGTGGGATCACTATGCTGGTCAGTTGGATAAACTTTGTTGCTCTGCTCTAAATGGAATTTGCCCATGTATTGTTGCTCTGGGTTACGGAGGTGGTGTAAATTTGTTAGTTGAACAATTAAAATTGCAGAAATGTGAAACACTGAGTGGACGTCGACTAACCTATGCGCTTCAAATCCAGTTGTGCTGGCAACCGGGGCGAGCTCAACACCTTTAGCCATAAACTCAGCACCGCCCGAGCAGGGCGCCTCTTCGGCTGCTTCTTAGCTCTGTTAAATTGTTTTCGGCCACAAAACTCGTTGCGAGTCGTTTATTGAAAAGTTGCACTCCAACTGGAAATGCCAAACTGGCCAACAACAAAATTTCTATATGAATTGCGGCTCTCAAATGTATGCACTCTATCATCATCATCAAAATTATCATCAGCAGGTAACAACGATGCTGGTGCTGATGATGCTGATGGGCTTGGCAATGGACAACTGGTAAATGAACATTTTTCAGTGTTTTGCTGTTTTGTTTTGCTTTTAATTTAGTACCCATGGAATAATTTTTGGGGCTACGTGCCTGTGTGTACGGGGTCTGTTCTGGTCTAGTCTGGTTTTGGTCGGGTCTGGGTAACTGTATTTCTGGCACTCGTCCAGCACAGCCCCTTACGAATTTATATTAAAAATTATTTATTGCATTTTGTGTTGTCAGGTTCTAGTTGTTGTAGTCCTCTTTTTGTGTTCTGCTCGTTTTTGTTCCAGCCAAAAGGCAGAAACTTTTTAATTGCTCTTTCAGTTGTTGTTTTTGTTGTTCGGAATTGTTTTTTGCACTTTGGCTGCTTCCTGTTCGATGGAGACACGTACGTGCTTTCATTTTTCCCTAATGATATAACGTGATCTAATGGCTCGCATACGTTTTACTGCTCCCAGTAACTGTTTATATACTTCAAAGCTAATGATATAGCGCAGAGAGTGGCTTAAAGCCACAATTAAAAGAGGGAAAGAGAGAGAGAGAGAGTTTAAATAGGTGCAAATATTTTGAGATTATTTAGTGCACAGATAAGATGTGTGGAGCCTAGGTCTAAGGCTATTAAAACACTATTAATTGTCTAAATATATTACCTATTTCAAGCAACGTATACTTTAGTTTGCATTTAAGTAGAATTTGAGTTAATTTTCTGATATTTCTGGAAAATATGTTTTCCACTGTAAGCAGCTTGCAGTTAACTTTGAAGCATTTAATTGCTTTGGGCAGTGAATCAAAATTCTCAGAAGCAATATCATAGTTTTAGATATTTGTGAAAAATATATATATTTTCCTTGATTCTTTTGGTCGTCTGTTTTATTGAAGTTTAGCACAGGCAAGTTGATTGCTGTAAGCTAAGAATCACATTTCTCAGAACAGAAATATATTTGCCTTCGCTTAGGCCAAATAAATGCAATAAAATAACAAAATAAAATTTAATAATTTAAAAAAGGCAAATCCAATAAAAGAAAAATCAAATGCAATTGAGGCAATACATCATAGCAACAAGCTACTATATTATTTAGTATTTCAGTCTATTTTATAGCTAAGATTTATCGAACCCACAGCACTTGATGGTTGCTAAGAGCATTAGGTCTTTGGTTACCAATCGTATTTAAGCTGCCGCATTTATTGACTACAATCGTTGGCAATGACCAGCATTATCTAGTTCGTTTGGAAACTTACTTTTAAGCTATGGAAAATTTGAATACATCAATTTCAATACTTTATTAAACTTAAATAATTATTGAGCCATTTTATTGTGGCACCTTTGAAGCCCTCAAAATGAACATAAATATTTAACTTTTACATTAGCTGCCGCTTTGCGGCGGAAAATTGCTTTATAAAACAGGAAAACAGCCAACTTTTGCACTTGAGGGCAAACAGAAGCAGTGCATATTGTGAAAGACAGAACTTAACTCGTTTTTTTCCTGCTGTTATCTGCTTGGCTCTTTACAATTGGATCTTCTTTGTGCGCATCATTATGACGCGCACTTAACATTTCCGTTGCGTGGGTCTCTCACCTTTTTTTTATGTGCTTCCCTTTTCTTTGTTGTTTGCATTTATGTTTTTGCCTCTCGCAAATCCTCTTAAAACATTTTTGTAGGCATTAAACAGGAGGCGGAGTCGTGAGAGGTGTGGCATGTGGCGCCTCGCTTATCTTTTCGTTTTTTTTTTTTTTCGGCAGCCTGTAAACCGCAAAGGGCAACAGGTAAACGCGGCGTATGCGCAATATTTAGCCAGAGAGATTAGAGTGTGTGAGAGTGTGTCTGTGTGTGTGTGTGTAAAGTGTTTTGTCTGCCATTGTTCTACATCGACAGCTGGCAGCAATTGGTTAAGCATGTCAGGCCGACGAGAAATTCTTCGCTTAATGCAGCCGCATCAGGTCACCTGTTGCCCACAACAAAGGCCTGCGGCCAGGGTATATGAATCGGCTGGGCAGGTCTGTTCTGCATTTGCGAAAGGTGCGCTTGAAGTGTGTTTAAGCATGACACTTTGCCATTAGCAGCACACCTGCAGCACGACGAGCACATACAACCCAAAAGTGTCGTCAATGTCTCGGCAATGTCCTTGGCGCTTTGTTTGTGTCCTGTGCTATCAGCAGCATCCGCAGCACGAGCACCATTATTGTCATCATCATCATCAGCAGTAGCAGCAGGAGCAGCATTGTTGTTGGCTCAAGGCATATTAATATTTAAAGTTGTTTGACGCTGGCAAACGAAGACAACAACAGCAGCAGCGACAACAATTCTCCCCCAAGGATAGCATTTTGGCTTCAAGTTAATTGTGAATGCTTTGCTGGGTTTGCGTGATTTGTTGTGAATGGACGTGCGTGTGTGCGTGTGTGTGTGTGTGTTTTGTTGTGTCTTGCGGTTGTGGCATGCTGATGGCGTTGGCATTTATTAAACGCCTGCTACACAGCGACTGCAGCTGTTGTTTTGTGGTCGAAATGGCAAACAGAAAGTTTCGTCACAACAAATTGCACTGGAATGCGTTCTATTCAATCAAATGATATTTAAATTTGTTTTATAAAGCAATAAGTCAGCAAAGCACAAATAACACATAATTCGAAATAAAATGTTTATTTACATATTATAAATATTGGCGCAAAGTTGATGTTTGCTTAATTAAATGAATTTCATATAACATTTGCTAGGTTTATATTTATATAAAATTCAAAAGAGTTTGTGTTTGCTGGAATTAACTTTGTAAACTAGTTTTTATGGTTAATTAAAGTAAAAATAATTTAAAATTTTTTTGATAAATTTAATTAAAAATGTTGTATGATTTTGTAGAGCTCTACATCATGTTAATATTAAAAATAAATAAAATACTTGAGATCTTCAATAAAAGAAGTTAGAGAAATATATTTGTTGATGTCTTTTAAAGTAAGTTAAAATCTATAAATTTTATTGCAATCAAACAGAAACTCTGAGTCTATAAATAAAACCAAATACAGTGCATCTACAGAAGCTGAGCAGTCTTAAAAATTGCTCTAAAATATTTGATACGCAAACTGTTTTCAGACCTTAAGAGTTCTAAATAGTCTACTTGAATGCAAACTACAACATTGCTCTTAGGCAAAGCTCTCTTACTTAAATCTAAATATGCTTTTAGCAGCCCATTTAGATAAACTAAAGAAAAAGGAAAAAACATAAGCCAGCAGCT